TAATTCCTATGCCATTGGTTGCTTGAGATTTGTGTATTATTGTCCACTCTCCGTTATGGAAATCTACTTCTTGCATCTTCAATTATTCACTAGTTTTCTCCTACTGTGAAAGGATTGATTATCTTCCTTTTCATCTTCCTCACAGTTGGTTAAAAGGTTAAAAGGTTGGATTGACTACTTTCTTCCTCCTATTAAACATTTCAGACGCCCCTCGAAGAGAGACATGGAAAGCATTATTCTCAAGTATCGGATATGCCAAAACCGCAGTGGGTCAGTTTGTTTTCGCCATGCTGTTCTCTCACCTCTGGGATATGAAAACGCGTTATTTAAAGGTCTAACCGAAGATATAAATTGTGATGGAGCATCTGCACTTCATCTATGGCAAAACCCCGATAATCTCAAAACTGCACGTCTATCTGAGTTTGGAGAGATGATCAGAGCAGCTTTTGAGTTACCCTTAAACCAACACCATGTAAGGAAACCAACCTCTGGTCACAATGTCCTTTTCGTTCGCCGGGAAGATTATTTAGCTCATCCTCGCCATGGTGGCAAAGTCGAATCAAGGCTTACTAATGAAGCAGAGGTATTTAACTCTCTGAAGATCTGGGCATCTGGCTACCAAGGATGCAAAATCAACCTTGTGAATGGATTGTTTGCGCATATGCCTATGAAAGAACAGGTCCAAGCCATTCAAGATGCATCAGTAATCATTGGTGCTCATGGTGCTGGTCTTACTCACATCGTATCCGCATTGCCTAAAACTGTGATTCTTGAGATAATTAGCAGCCAGTTCAGGCGTCCACATTTTCAGTTGATCTCCCGATGGAAAGGACTGGAGTATCATGCTATAAATCTTTCCGGTTCATATGCAAATCCGCAGGATGTTATCAGTGAGCTGAGCAGGATAATGAGAAGCCTTGGATGTTAAGGGTTTTGGTTGTTTTGGACCAGAACTTTTGATCTCTTTACTCAGCGGATGGTATCAGTTTTGCTTGTGGTAGAGCTATACCTACTATGTGTACTTGGGAATATACCAGAATGAGTCTGACTGATAATGGTTGACAAAAGCAGCCGCTAAGGGGCATGCTATCCTGCGGCAGCATCATTTGTATATTGATTCTTGGCTGTATATTACGATAGATTATTATTTATTGCTCCTTTTTTTCCCAGAGTGCTAATTGGAGTATCTAATACTGATGAAAAAGAAGTATTGCATATGATTTTTGTCCCAGAGGACAGTTTCGTTTTGAATGTGTAGAAAACTGTGTTGCAACAAATTAAAGTGGTTTAAAGATGAGTTGGACGAAAGAATTAAAATTCAAGTCATATTAATGCAATTAAATTGATATATGAACAATATGTGCAGCTCGGTTGAAACTTTGTTGTGAGCCAATTTCATTAAAATTAAAGCTCACGTTGTTTCAAGCGTTGTTGTGGAATCAATAGCAAGTTATCTTAATTATTACTAATTATTAATAACATAAAAATTCTAGTAAATCACACAATCAGTGTACTGCAATGCGTAAAAGATATTTAGTTTGTTTGTGAAATACTGCATTAAAATATGACATTTTGAAGAAGAAAAAGCTCAACTCTATTTTTCTGCTAATAAAGTTTAAAGACATGCTATACGTTTGTTCTTCAAAAATCAGGATGAAATAATTATTCCTATTGTATTAAAAATAAAAATTAATTTCTAATTGGTGTTTGACAATAATTTAAAGGCATCGATTATGATAGTCAAAATTAAATCCCAATTCGATATTGTATAAAAGGTAATTCACTAATTTGTCCGAGACCGACAGAACATATAATAGCAAATGTCCTTAAAATGCGGTAAGAAAAGCATTAGAAATTTAGAATATCTAACAGAACAAATATATGTTTATTGAAAAATTTCCATAAACAATGCATAGGAGGGAAGGAGAATGAGAATTGAGAAGAACGAGGGATCATTTTGGCTCACACGTGTAAGTCATCGAAGAGTGTTTTCTGAAAAAGAAAGAAAAAAACAACCAAAAGTACAAAAGAGGAGAGAATACGATGCTATCTCTGTTCTCTAGTTTTCTTACTTTGCTTGGCCATGTAGACTTGTGTACGAAACATTCTGATTTGCAGACTCAGCATTAGCATTTTGATAAAAGGTTGCAAGAGAGAGCATCAACCTTGCGTAGTTGCCAAGGAGGCAACTTTCCTTTTTAAATGTGTTATTTATCGTAATAACCCTTTCGCCTTCACCCCCTTAAGCCATTGTCTCCGCCCTGAAGCCTGCAAAATCAATAGCAGCCTCTGAAATCACCAGAATATGGCATTTCCAGAATCGCGTTTGGTTTCTTCGGACGATGTCAAGGATGCTATTACTGAGTTCGGTATGTGAAAGTCCCCTTCATATACATCCCTAGGGTCCCAAACAAGGTTTTGAGAGCCTGAAATCCCACACACAAACACAATGACATAAGGCGATGCAGTCTCCTAAGTATAAATTAGTGTTGTGTCTGATGTGGCGTATTGTGAGTCTCAGACACTCGGCTGTATTTTTGAAGCTTATGGATGTTTCAAAGTAGTCACTTTTGAACTCATTATTACGTTGAATAAATCTAAGTTAAGTGGCTCTTATTTAGAGAGATCGGTTGGTCAAAAAGGTTGGGGGAATATGATCAAAAGATCTTTCTTTCTTTCTTTCTTCTTACTTTTTTTTTTTTGCGTTTTTCCTTGCCCTTTGTTCAGAGTCCATAGTGAAAAGGGTGAGACCGGTAGAGTACTACCTGACAGCAATATTTTACTTTATTTGAGGATCTTCTTTATATTTGAACTTTGCTTACTCCTTAGTTGAAGGTTTCACTAGGGTCCTTACTTACTTGAAAAAGTGACAATTCCACTACTACCTGCAAATTTGCTTATGCTACAGTCCGTTCAGTTGTTCTTCATTTGCACCCTTGACAGTACTTCTACTACAATATTCATGACTTGCATTTTAGATTTTGAGCATGTAGTGCTTGACATGACTATTTGAATAATTTTTTTAGTCTTGAATTTTCTTGCTTCAATATGATTCATTCACATTTTTCTCCTGCTATTGCCAAAAGCTAGGGATTTAACAACAATTACTACCACCCCTTGCACCTAGCAATACTCAAAGGTGATTGGGAATCTGCGAGGGCATTCTTCGAGCGTGACCCTAGTGCTGTGACAGCACAGATCACCACCATTGCCAGGACAGCACTACATGTGGCAGCTGTAGCAGGGCAGTGGAAAATTGTGGAGAAGTTGGTGCAGCAAATGCCGGTGTAGAAGCGCTCACTGAGTTAGACTTAATGGGATGTACTGCCCTGCACTATGTTGCATTGGGTGGAAATACAACAGCTGCTAAGGCATTGGTGACCAGGAGTCCTTTCTGACACAAATAGCTGATCTTGAAGGATTCTCTCCTCTTGTCTATGCAATTATCTCTTCTACAAGTAAAGAGTTGGTATGGTACCTAGCTTTGGTTACTACAGATGAGAGACCTGCGAGTCCATTCACCGGTCCTTCTGCTAGTCGTCTTGTTGCTTTGCTTACTGCTGCAGGATTTCATGGTAATTGAAACGCTTTTCTGGATAATTTGTGGCTATTTATGTTTTTAGAATTTCTGGTTGATATGAATAGTGTGGTGGAGACAGTGGCGCGTCATAACGTGTCATCTCATGTTAGCCTACCAACAATGATAGCATTTAAGTCACCAATGACAAGGGGAAAAAAACATTGACTGAGACAACAATTGCCTTTTAGTGATGGTCAATAGGGTTGGATTCATGTTGTCAAAAACTAATTAGATGAGAAGCTACTGACTTGACAGGACGTTAGTTTATATCATACAACCACTAACATAATTTTCATGGACCATGAAAGAACACTTATCCATTGTTTCGGTTTTGACCCCAAGCTTACCAAACTATTCAACTCTTATAGTTTCATACTCTCTTTTCCTTCTTTTCAATAATTATGCTCCTCTCTAATGCGCAGATATCACTTTGTTTCTTCTCCAGCGCTATCCCAGCTTGGCCACTATGGCAGACTCAAATGGGAGTGTTATATTCAATGTGTTGTCCAAAATGCCATCAGACTTCCAAAGTGGAAGTAAGCTTGGGATTTTGGGAAGGTTCATTTACCACTGTAAGTATTCATTTCGGCATAATTCTTTTTCTCTTTCCAAGCTTCATTTTGGTTCTTGCGTTTTATGAAATGTAATATTCTTCTTCTACTATCACACTAGTTGTTCCAGAGGAACTTGATCATTTACAGCCGAGAGGAGATTTGAAGGATCTTCATGACGCACCTAGCAAAGGTTTCGTCTGGAAAACCATTGAGAAGCTGGGTATGTTTTTCATTGTAGTGGAAGTACATTTTCAAAGATCCTCAAGATCCATTCTTAGCCTCACTTTCTATGTAATTAAATTTGCACCTGCAGTTCCAAGCATAAAGCTAGTAAGAGACACAAAGTTGAGAAATAAATCTGCTGAGAGATTAGTAGAGCATGTTTGTTCACAAGCCTTTATCATGAACAACTTCATTTTCTGGCAGTCTTTCGTCAGTGCAGACATTTTGTACAACACCATATCATCTGGGATAGTTGAAATTTTAAGGATATGTTTCAAATTCTTTCCTGATTTGATTTGGACTAAAATGCCAAATGAAGGATACATAATGCAAGTTGCCATTAAGAATCGGCAAGAAAAGGTCTTTAGCCTTTTGTGTAAGATGCCAATTGGTAAGCTGCTAGTTTTGGTGGTAGATGAATCACAAAACACCACATCACATCTTGCAGCAAGGTTGACTTTTCTCCTCAGCTAGCATCAGTTTCCGGCGCGGCATTTCAGATGCAAAAAGAGTTACAATGGTTCAAGGTATGTCTAATCTTATTAGTCACCTCCTTACAGGCTCACAGTTTAATTTCTCACAGATAGCAACAATGAGATAGTCCCTTTCATGCTGAACAAGAAGGGGGTGGAATGAAAGAACAAAATCTCCAAACTTCAAGGATCAAATCAATGAATCAATAAGTAAAGTATAACAACTACAATTGAATAGACACATATTTAAAGATAAGGAATGGGGATAGTGGCTAAGAAAACCCAAAGCATAAAAGGTTTTTTTTTTTTTTTTGCTTCAAATTCATAATGTGATCCTAAGTTCTTTAATTGCCCAACTATATCGGTTAAGAAAACCCTAAGCATAAAAGGTTTTTGTTGGCTTCAAATTCATGATATGATCCTAGGTTCTTTAATTTCCCAACTACAAACCCAAATCGCCAAATAGTAATTGCATTGTTACATGGCAAAGAAGATAATAGATATATCTTCTTATACTGCATTGCCCTTGTAGGAAGTGGAGAAATTGGACCATCCTCTTCATAAGCAAGTTAAAAACCAAGAGGGGAAGACAGCTTGGCAGTTATTCAAGGATGAGCATAAGGGTTTGCATGAACAAGGAGAGAAGTGGATGAAGGATACATCAAACTCCAGTATGTTAGTGGCAGCTCTTATTGCCACAGTTGCTTTTGCTGCTGCTGTCACTGTTCCTGGAGGCAATGACCAGACTAAAGGAATCCCAATTTTCTTGAGGGATAAAGCATTCATGGTGTTTGCTGTCTCAAATGCTTTAGCTTTATTTTCCTCTGTAGCTTCTATTTTTATGTTCTTATCAATCTTAACTGCGTACTATGCTGAAGAAGATTTCCTCAAGACACTGCCTCGGAAAATGATTCTGGCTCTGGCCTCTCTATTCGTTTCTATAGCAACTATACTGATAGCGTTTGGGGCAGCTCTTTCTTTGGCACTTAGGGAAAGACTCAAATGGGTGCCAATTCCAATTACTCTTCTGGCTTCTCTCCCACTTGCTCTATTTGCAGTGCTCCAAATTCCTTTATTTGTAAGAATGATTGTATCAACTTACGGACGTGCAATTTGTCAGCCTCGAGATCTTTGGTAGGTTCATTCCCTAATGCAATATAGATCAAGGGAGAATATGGGAGATTAAATGCCTGAGTTAAACCCTA